ATGTATAATACATATATTATAATTATATCGATTGCTTATCACTGGCAAGTTATTGATCTTATACCATTGTCCATTCTCGAAAAACTATCGAGGAACACGAACAAGTATCAACAGTATGAACTCATGAATACACAGGCAGACGGAAGACTCTCTCAACCCAAACACGTCCCCATACACATGCCCACACAAAAAAGTCATTATACGCATACATACTCTAACGCATACGCATATGCATACGCATACACGTATACACGCACACAAACACACGCACTTACGCGAACACATACACGCACTCACATACAAACACATACAAACACACACACAAACACACACACACACACACGTGCGCGCACATACATACACAGATATACATACATCCGCATCCATACACACATACATACACACTCACGTGAGCACACACACCCTTTCATCTTCACATACCAACAAACGCCACTTGTTCCTGAGCTTGAATCCTAATTATCCTTCCCTCAAACAAACAGCTAAAGAAAAACCAGCTCCAGTAGGCAACAGCTGCATCCGACGTGTAATCAGAAAGCATTAGGTCAGAGGATGTTTCCTCATTATAGTTTGCGAGGACGAGATTTTTGTTGGCACCCACAACAGTCTGGTTACCGAATCGAACCTCAATAGAATGTATTTGTTGCTCTTTAAAGATGTAGTGGACACAAAATGTATCTGGACAGCAGTAGACCAAAGGCCATGTTACTGAACATTTCGAACCATTATACATGAATCACGGGCACAGACTTGCGTATTTCACAGCATGCTCGTTGTTGCGTGTTTCAATTTCAGAGAAAGAAAAGAGAATTTTTAAAAAATATGTTTAATATTGAAGGCATGCTTCTTTTCTAAAGTAAAAGTGTTCCGAAACAGAGAGTTCAAGCTTTGTCGAATGACCAGGGTGTACGTCCTCACAGAGCCAGGGATAAACCGCGAAATATTTCTTTTTTTTAGGATGTTGGCCGTTGTTTTATACTTACGTGTGTCACACGATGATATGCACTTGTAGGAATCTGTAGAGAATATAATACAGAGTCAATAATGATACGTTTTCTATTGATCTGTTACTGTTACGTTGGTGGATAAGAGTATAGTTCTGTCAGACCGACTAGGTCTCATTCTTTTATGGTATTATTATTTACGGGGAAACATTCAGTTAGTTGAAGGTCATTGTGAATAAGCCCGATAACGAAAGCATCCGGCTAAGAACAGATCAATAAATTGATCTCAATACTAAAACAAATAGAAGTAAATTATATATAGAGGGAGAAACAAGCACAGAAAGAAGAAGAAGAAAAAGAAGAAGAAGCAACTCCCATAATCACACATAAACCTCTGACGGGCAGAACAACGGATGAAATATTATTCATTATTTGTCACAGATTTCCTTTCTACTTCGACTTTAAACGACCTGTCGAACCTGTAAATGGGCCATCCATGTGCTTTGGACTAGAGCTTGATTTTATTATCCGTATGGTGCAAATCATTCTTCTGCGTCATTAACCGTATTCGAGATAATCAATATCATGAGTGTTTATTAAATCGATAACTTCAGATAACAACACACCAGTATCTCGGTCTGATCAATTACGTATGATAATAAATATGCAGTAGCGGAGAGAGACTGGCATCTCGTCTGCGAATACAGCTATACATCATCAACAAAAGAATTGAGGGAAGATTACATACACAGAAGGTATTCTCTTTAATGTATGGTTGTTTTTCAATTCTTGCAATGATATTAATATTGTACATAGATTTAGAGTTAGAGTTATGCATAAAAATACGTTTATTTTTTGTTAAGTCTCTTTTCAGTGACCTTGAAAGGCAAAGAGAAAAACGCCACAACGAGATAGAAGTACAAGTTGTGGCCTAGACGGAGAGGCACAATCTTTCGTTTTGAACTCACAAGTCGGTTGAACAATTATGTGGGAGGGGGAGGGGTTGAGTGGAAGGGGAAGAGTAAAAAGGGTAGAGGACAGATGAATGTTGAGGCTTGATTAATTTGGAGTTCAATCTTGGCTGACTTACCATTGTAAAGCGTAGAACCTGCAATAGGGCATAAATATAAATAAACACAATGAACGTTATTATCAATATTGTTACCTTTCGTATACCTCTTTCCTGAAGACTTGAAGCAACCCGTCAAACGGTTTGCGACCTCAGCTGTGGAAAATTGATTTATCATGTAAGTGGTTTTCTTCATTTGATTCAATACTTTTCAGTGTCTCAATTTTGCGGTTACGGAGGTCATGCTGCAAGATCAACAACACCAGTTACTACTCTACTACTACTACTACTACTACTACTACTACTACTACTACTACTACTACTACTACTACTACTACTACTACTACTACTACTACTACTACTACTACTACTACTACTATTATTATTATTATTACTACTACTATTACTACTACTACTACATCCCAGATTCGAATCCTTCATGGACGATGACAAGCTTGAGCCGTCTGGAGATTTTTCAAGGCTCTCCCCCTATTGTATTATCGGAGATGGACTTAATGCTCCTAGGTTTTACGGATATACGTTTACAGTTTTGAATTGTGCAATAAATCCATACCATATAAAAAAACAGCTCCATATTGGCCTTTGAGACGTTAACACCCTCCAAAACAACATGTGTTAAAAAACAACCTTTCAACGTTTTAGATCGGGACAGGAGATATAAAAGCCAACCGTCTTGCAAGAATTAGTTCGAATCGCATGGTCCGTATTTTGGATAATTGTTTAGCTAATGAACTAAGAAACAGTTGCACATATTTTAAGCTTGGCCCTGGGGAAGCTATTTTAACCGAGGTATTATAGGCCATGATCACCAATTTTAAAAATTATGTGGGTATTTTAAAAGAGTTTGTGGGGTAAAAGTTAATTTAACGTACTTAGTCTACCATTTGGTCCTCATGTTACTTATCAAACCATAGTTCACCAACACTCGAAGAAGTAAAAATTACTTTCTTTTAACTGCTTGATCCCCTAAAACTAATCACTGCCGTATTGAATAACGGCACTAGAGTCCAACATGTTGATTCAGGGGACAGAAGCCCTACGATGAGTGAGCAATGAGATTCACAAGCATTTGTCTCCCCTACATTTCCATACCGTCTTCACACAAAATGAATGTATCGTCCTTCTCTCCTCAGTGCTTGTGTTCGCGCATAATATGTTTGTGTGCATGCGTGTCTGGGTTTGTCTGTCCGACTGTCTGTCTATCTCTCTCAGTCTCTGCCTTTCTCCATCCATCTATCAATGTACGTATGAATGCATCTATGCTATCCATCTGTCTAATTACTTCATGTCCTCATGTCCTTCTGTACGCCTGAAGTTCTTTTTTAGAAAAACAAACATAAGCTGTTTTACATTACACACGACTAGTTACTTTTCTTACATCTGCCTCTTCATGGCTTTGGCATGGTGAGTATACAAATTGTAACAATAAAACGCAAAGAGCATTCGTTATGTGCTCCAGATAAGGCCTCAGCTTCACACACATAAGGCTTTTTCAACTAGGGTTTACCTCCATGAATCGATGTTTTGAGTATCTAAGTAAAATTAAAAGGGTAAATCACCACACATTTTCAACATACACCTTACCATATATCCGGTCAAATTAGGCCTGGATGCAGTTCATCAAGAAAAATAAACTACAGAATTAGACTTACCCTGAAACTTAAAAAGAGAGTTTGAGAGAACGCTTTGTATTTATCTTGACTTCAAAGAGTGTTCGCTTTATTTAGGAAAAGTTCTATTAAAATTGCATTTAATTAATTTCTTTCTGTAAATATGAATGCCTATAATATATTATATGATTTTATATATATATATATATATATATATATATATATATATATATATATATATAATGTAATATATATATATACATATATATATATATAATATGTAAATATATATATATATAATATATATATATATATATATCCATACTAACAGTACATTCGAATGCCATGTTACAGCATGGAAGAAGTACCTCCATTGTACAAATGAATGAATTTTACACATAATGAGTACTAAACATTAGGTAAAAGAAGATAAATAGATACATTCACCTGACCTCATACATTTGGATTGTATCTTTCTGGTCAGTCTAACGGTCTCGTCATAGAGGGTATTAGAAGTTGAAAGAAAAAACGGTTAACGTCTCGTATTTACACCGTAACTTCTTGATGCTACCTCAGATTCTTACCAGCGGTGGAGGTGCAGTGTCCGCGCACAGTCCCGCTCACGGTGACGTCAGCTTCCCACGGACACATGTGAGGTGTGAATCCTTGAGGAGACATGAATGTTGTGGCTCAAGGATAAGGACATCAACATGCCGTGGTCGTTCAGTGCGTTTTTTTGTTTGTTTGTTTGTTCGTTCGTTTAATGGTTTGTTCGTATTTTCTTGTTTTGTTTTGTTTATCTGTTTGTTTGTTGTTGTTTTTTTCGTAAGCGGTTCACGCCGTACTTGACGTAAGGTAGGTTATTTGGAAAATGGACCCCCCAACTCTTTCATCGAACCCCAGGTCAACAGAAATGCATGAAAGAGAGTTTGGAATGAGGCATGGCAAGTAAGAGAAAAAAAATACTTCAAGCCCGAAAGGCTGTGGTACGCAAGGGGCACCCACTGTTGGTGGACTGCCAAGTAAAGCTGGTGAAATGAGGTTAATTAAAGAGAGACACACGGACACCAAAGGTCGTTTTGCACCGAAAAGCAGTTGGATTACAAATAGAAATATCAGATGGACAGAAAAGAGAAAGTCCAACTGTGACTTTTCCCCAATCACTCGTCGGTGTATGATCAGAAAGTGGTAGGTAGTTGATCTGTTCGCATTTTCGGATGATTTGAATTTATTTCCAGTTTTCTTTCTTTCTCTAACTGTTCGTGTCATTGTCTCGCCAGACGGTTCAGTTTCAGCTAACACTAATAATGATAATAATAATAATAAACCAAAAAAAAAAAAATCGTGTAAATTCCAACGACATGAACCCTTGCACAATGTTTAAATTAAACACTGCCTGAGAACAATTTAAAATACACTTTGTATATAAACAGTCAAAATACCCACATTGCAATACTCCAATTTTTAAAACAAATCACTTAATCTTAAAGTCGTATAAAAGCATAGTACGTCTATAATTTATGTATACCATATAAATCTAAGTACATGCATATTATACTGCTATGTGACATGTCTGAAGTGTGTGTGTCCGATAATAATAATAATAATAA